TATATATATATATATATTTGTTTGGATTTATGGAAGACTAAAGACATGGGAAAAAATCCAGCACCCCAACATGTACAGCCAGGAAGGAAATCAGCTCTGTAATAGGACAGGTATAATGAACTATAAACAAGAAGGGGTGGAAAAAGAAGAAAAAAAAAAAGTGCATTGAGTTTAAGACACTGTAAAACTCAGAAGACATATTTACTATTCAAGTATAAACTCTGTAAGGACTTGGCATAAATTGAAAGGCAGCTGCAGAGGTACACCATTATAAAAGAAGTTCTATGAATTTACAATTCTACCTTCCAATTTCCTGGGAGAAAAAACCAAACTCTTGAAGGTCTTCACCAGAGACCCTGAGAGGGATTAACACTTTTGAGAAGACATAGTCAATAATTCATGATTGAACTTACTATTCAAAAACATGTATTTATTTAGAACAATAGAAATACGTGTTCTCAGACTGTCCTCTAGAGTTTGTGAGACTATTAGTTCAAGAGTTTCAAAGTATATTACTTGTAAAAACAATACTGATTAAAAAAATTTTTTTAACAAAAAAACAGAAATCTGATTTGATGGTACCTTAAAAATACCCTAAATACCAAATTTTCTCCAACCTAACATTATAGCTAATTTAAGAATTCCTCCTGCATTGGTAAAACATTTTTTCCTCATAAAATGTGGTACTGAAATTGGATAGGAACACTATGAATATGAAAATACCACCGATTTTCTGCAGTAAAAAAAAAAAACCCAAAAAACAAAAAAACAACAAAAAACCTAGAATGTTCTTTGGAATCACTGAAATATCACAAACTTGGGTTTTTTCTTACAGTCTGTGCACCTTCTTTCAGGTTCTCTGTTTTGCTTGTAGTACTGACTGTGTGATTCTAATGTTTATAGATTCAAGTCTTGCAATGCAATATCCATGCTTAACACACCGGTGTCTCTCCAACCAGTGAGAAGTTATGCATAACCCAGAAATGCTGTCATTTACATCTCCATAAAGACTTCTGCCCCAAATAAAAACTTCAGAATGACACAACACGTCCTGTGTTAAACAATCAAATGAACCCAACATGGAGGATTCCAGTGTGATTTCAGTACTTGGGAGGGCACTGTCTCCTATAGTTTTTCATGGAAGTACCACAGGCCTGGCTGCTAGCATTCAGCTTTCCGTGGCCTTAAAGGGATTTTTTCAGGGCTGGCAAGTTGGATTAGATTCTAAGAGAATTTTGTCTTTGACAAACTACCATTTTTAGCATAAAATCTGGCCATGGCTATAAGTTTCAGTATGTGTACAACTGATTAGAGAGTTTTTTTTCTTTTTCTTTTCAACATTGGCTGGAATTGAGTAGAAAAAAGTCCACGATGCCTCTTCACATGTGTCATGAAATATGAGAAATCTGTCTGATTCTAGATACTATTTCTTTACGACACAATGGGCAGGTCTCCAGCTGCAAGGCACAATCCATGCACAGGTCACTGGGGAGAAACACAGAAAAGCCAGTCAATTTAATGCTTCAAAAGGTCAAACTCCAGCTGCCTGCCAACTAAATCTAAAATGTTAACAAGTTTGTTCATTGAAAGGGTTAATAATTATACATGGTTTAAAAAAATGAATATGTAAATAAAAAGTAAATTTTACATTTCTGATCCTCAATTGTCTTAGTCTGAGGAACAAGTAAAAAGTTCATATGCATTCTTTCAGACACTCTATACGTGCACAGCATATATATACAGATGTGTACATATAGGTAGGGATATAATATTTCTCCCCAGAAAGCCATTTATCCCAGAATCATTTACCAAACAGTCCATCTTTTACCACAGTTTTGACACAATGCCTTTGTCATATGGTAAATTTTCATTTTTAGTTCTATTTCTGGGCTTTTATTATATTCCATTATTCTGCCATTCCTGTCATAATAGTAATGGGACCAAACTACTAACATTTATTTTAATGTATTTTAAGATGTGGTATGGCTGTCATCTCCATAACTTTCAGAATTTTCTTGCTTTACACTTTCAAATCAGCATGTCAAGTTCCAGAAAAAAATCATGTTGCTCTTTTTACGTTGACCAAATTAAACTTAGAGTTTAGAGAAAACTGTCACCATTACAATACTGAGAGGTCCTCCTATCCAAGAAAGGACTCATTTATTTAAGTCTTCTATTATACT